CCGCGGCTCTCCTCCACTCCAGGGCAAGAACGGATTTGTTTATGATAGGGCGCTGGGGCAATATTTAGCGTTCGCGGCGTCGAGCTAGGGGGGGTCGGTAGGTCATTGGGGGTAGTGGGGTTAATGGGGGAGAAATGGGGGGGGGGAAGGGGGAGGAAAAGAGGGGAGAAAAGGGGATAAGGGGTAAGCGGAAGGGAAATAAAAAGGGGAACTCACCATTCAACCCGATCGCACTAGACCGAGCCGTGTCAGAAACAACGTTGGCGCTGACCTGAGAGTTGGCCAGGGGGCCCATGGCAAACAGCGAGCTGGACAGGAGGAAGGTGGCGGCGTAGCGGGCGGAGGGGTTGGTGGTGCCCAGGAATATGCTATAGCCGGCGATGACGAGCGGCGTGCTCAGGATCATGATGATTTGGCGCTTGTCCAGGTACCAGCTGAGCAGCGGCAGGGCAAGCGTGAAAAAGCCGCCGACGACGTAGGGGGGTACGGTGAACAGCTGCTGCATGACGGTCGACTTGTCCGGGTAGATGGTGCGCACGATGGTGGGCGCGAAGAAGGCCAGCCCCTGGACGGTGATGTTGTTGAGCAGGAACAGGAACGACGTCGACAGCGTGACGGGGCTGAGGATGCCCTGCATGAGCTTCTTGCTGTCCATGCGGTCGAGAACCTCGGTGGTGGCCACGCGCTCCGACCGGACGCGGGCGATGGCCAGCTCCTTCTCCTCTGCCGTGAGCCACCTCGCAGTTTCGGGCCGGTCGGTGAGGGTCAAGAAGCTGGGGAGGGGGGGGGGTGCCAAGGTTAGCAAGCGATTCAGGGAGGGACTGCCAGGACATAAACCCAGGGCGACTCACCTGATGACGGACAGGCCGATGGTGATGATACCCTCAACGACAAAAATCATGCGCCAACCGGTAACACCGCCTACATGATCGAGGGTCAGGATGCCGGAGGACCAAGAGGCCACCAAAAGCACCGGCCATGGGCGCCATGACGATGTAGAGTGACAGGCGGAAGGTGAGCTCGGAACGGCGGTACCAGCGAGAGAGGTAATAGGCGATACCCGGCATCATACCGGCCTCAAAGACGCCGAGCAAGAAACGGACACCGGCAGCCTGGGCAAAGTTGTCCACGAAGGCGGTAACCAGGGAGATGATGCCAAACATGAGCGAGATGGCCGGGATAAACCAGCCTGGCCCAACCCACTTGCACATGATATTCGACGGGATCTCGAACACGATGTAGGAGATGTAGAAGACGGATAGGAGCGCATTGTAATCGTAGCCTTTCAGGTTCAGGTCGGCCTCGAGGCCAGCAATTTTCGCATTCCCTGTAACATGGAGCCAGCCGTCAGAAACAAGGAGGCGCTCGAGTGACGATTCTGCGTCCTGTTCTTACCGATATTTGCTCTGTCAATGAAGCAGAACAGATACAGCAGTGAGACGGTCGGGACAATATACAGGTCTAGCTTTCTGCGGAGCCTGGCCTCGGCCTTGGGATCGAATTGTGGTATGGGCTGGCCATTCCTGGGTCGATTAGTCAGTCTCTCTATGTATGTCGAACCTGGGTGGTCAGGTATTTGGCCTTGCATGGGGGTTCTCACTGATCCCGTGGGGATGGGATGCACGCTACCGGGTGTCTCGGTATGGTGGGCTCCAGCCTTGGAGGAACCCGATAAGGAATCCCTCTTCTCGTCGGCCATAACGGGAGCGATTGTGGAAACAGAAACCACCGAGTCTTGGACGGCGTCGAGTTGTGGTAAGGATGGGTGCAACTCAACTCTGGGCTTGCTTGTCGAGTAGGCTATGGGAGAAGAGCGGACAGAGCGAGAGCCGAGACCCATGATGATGGATGGGCAGTTGGGACTCCTTTTTATTGGTGTGAACTCGATGACCTCCTACTTGACTTCCATGTTACCCTACCATGTGGGCAAACCCCTGGCTATCTCCGCTGATCCAATACCTGCTCTCCATCACGAACCCGTTGCTGACCGATACCCCATCGCATACCCCCATGGGGAATTGTACTCTTTACCCCATCTCCCCATATTCACGCTCCTTCGTCCCCAGTATCCAGTATCCAGTATCCAGTTTCCAATATCCGGGTGGAATCCCGGCCGGGGTATCGGTGATGGCGTCGAGTTGGTGGATGGTGTGTGTGGGTGGACGGCAGTCAACTTCGGCAGGCTCAGCGTCGGAAGTGGGCTGCAAATGGAGCCTCTAAGATAATTCTCAACGGGACCCGCCACGGCCATGTTACTGATTTGCGGTTAGTAAGGCGCGACCCGAGCTGCCAGAGCTGCCATGCGGAGTTGCCATTCTCAGCCACTGATGGCGAACCCCGCAACCCCCGATCCTTGGCGCCCGACCCCGACCAGCCAAGCCCAGCCGAACTGTTGGGGCCCGCTGTTCTAGGCCGAAAAGAGCCGAGCAAATCCCGGGTTGTGGGAGGCGGCAATCGAAGCTCCATTTCCATGGCACGCCAAGCCTTCTGCAACCTCCATCGTTTTCAAGGGCAAGCTTCTGGATGGACAATCTCGACCCCCAAACCCCGTCAAAACTCCATCCACGTTCCAGACCCCGCGTTGGATATGGGGTCGCATTTCTCAGCTCTCCGATTTTTGGGCTTGGTTCCAGGTTCTGCAAGGGTCCGCCGCCAACATGGCGTCTTGGCATCAATTCCGGAAATCTGGTCCGCGCGGCCTCAACTGCCCGTTACTGTGTGCAGTGAGTATCCCACAACAGCCTCCTTGGTAATGGTCCCCGCCAAGTTTGGCGGCGCAAAACACCTCTTGATATTGGCCTCTCGTTGGTCAGTAACTTGTCATGTCCTTGAGCGAGCCACCATGAGCCCCTCCACTCGGCACCCGACTCATCTGCCGTCCGCGTCCCTGCGGTTCCTAGTCTGTAAATAGACATTAGTGTATGTACAAGTACGTTGACAGTCTTGCCTGCTCGGCCGTACTTTGTACTGCGCTCTCAAATTTGTGGACCGCATGCATGATTGAGCTACCTCTCGACCTCTAGTGTACACAGGATTGAGTTATTCGATCCTAATAATGAGAAACGCGTGGCAGAATCGGGCGCTGTCCCGATTTCACTCTCCTCTTCACTCCCCCTTTCAGCCGCTTTTCCTAACATACATGGCCAGCTTGCCATCAAGCCCGTACTGATTGTTGAACGGAAACGGAAGCTCGACATATTCTTTCATCATCTGCCAGACACGGGGACGACCTTCGGGATCGCAGCTTAGGCGCTGGTTAAGTAGATATAAACAATGATTAGGGAAAAGACATGAACTTACCGAGCCAGCACCCCCGTCTTTCTTGGACGACCGCCGTTTCCAGATGATCCAGTGCAGGCCGGGCCAATATCCGCCACCACCTGCCTGATGGGAATGTTCGGGTTAGGAGCAAAAGACGACACTTGCTTCGTCGACTTCGAAGGAAGCCCTTCGGATCGTCGACCACGGTAATGCCAACATCGCGTAGAACCTGCTTGTCGATTGACGTGTAGATTGGGTCCTGGGAATAGCATCTCATCTCGGAACCCGCTTTCCCCGGGTGCCGCCGTTCCGCCCCTGCTGGTCAAGAAGTCTCGGAGCGCCACAACTAAACTGTGCTGGCCCATGCTGTGCGAAGTTTGGATGGCATTTGCCTCCCCGGTCATCGTACAACATGCGAACGCAACAATCTTGTCGATGCCAGACGGGACTGCAGCCGAGGCGAGAGTGGCCTTGAGCTGGGTGAATTGTTCGCTATCCTGCAAGGATTGCGTCTTCCGCTCGAAGGCCCGGCTCACGGTGTCATAGTCGCAGACCGGCGTGAAGTTCGCAATCTTGTTGGTGTGCACGTTCCGTATCTCGAGCGCATAATCGATCCCGACCGACACATACGCATATTTGTCCCTGTACCACTCCAATTCCTTGACCTCGAGTAGGTCCTGGATCTTGCGATACTTGAGGTGTGGTGTTGACCTAGGGAACATTTGTTAGAGAACTAAAACAATCGTACCTATTCATTCATACCTATAGTACCAAAGTGGTCGGGCCCATACGAATATTTAACCTCGTCCCAGCCTGCCGTCTTGAGAGGATATTGGACTGCGACCCCGTTGAGGCCAGTCACGGAAACCGCCTCACTGCTACTGTCTTCCAGCTGCCGTGCAATATCACGCAGCAAATCCTTGGTAAAAAGAGGCACCCCGGCGTCGTACTTCTCTTTGATCAGCCGATGTGCTTCAATCTGTCTCTTGCGCTTCTCGTCGTCGGTCATGGGCGTGTCTGGTAGGCATGCACTGGCACTGAGACTACACATGGGGCTGAGCCACGGCGAGATGGTCCCGCCCTCCCTATCAGACTCGGATGACATGACTCGAGGTAGAATACAGGAGTGGATGATCGGGTCAAAGGCTGCAGTGACGTGCGAGTGCCGGCTCAGTGAAAGGGATGTTGGTCCAAGGAGGAAGCCCGGGGTGGGTTGAGAACCAAACATATAAGGACTTTTCCTCGTGTGACCAAACGAAGACGCAGTGTTTAATTGGCTCGAAGATTCCTTTGCACCTAAGGTCAAAGACTCTTCAACCTGAAAAGCGATGGTCTGAAAATATAATATAATCAAAGGGCACTGGCGTCGAATGCTAGACGACTTGCCTTCTTCCTGGTATCTAATAGGGAATTCAACTTGAGACTCAACTCTAAACACTATCCCGAAGAAACAACAAAAAAAAAAAAAAAAGAAAGACATGTGAAGAAGATACATCGAGTAAAAGAGGAATGATATGGAGTAGAGACGGTTTCTTTAGGATTCCGCGTAGCTTTATTTCGTTCCTATGGTCGAAGGGTTGGTCGATATTGACACTTGGAGTCCGCCTTCTTTCGCTTATGGGATGAGATTGTGGGCATGGTGATGGAACTGCTTGACATCCATTGTAGGTATGTAGGTATGTACCTTGCCAGCACCCAGGCGGCCCAAACCCCACATTTGGCCCGGCGCCAGTGGGACAGCTTCCAAATGCAACACACCGCTTCTTCTGCCCAACTTCGGCGGCCAAGCTCCCCTCACAGCTATAATAATCCGTCCGAAGATGGCATATACCGAGGATAACATGCAAAAGGCTTTACACAAGTTCAACCAAGGGGGCCACTCCTTACGGGGGGTCGCCCACGAGTTCGGGATCCCGCGTTCCACTCTCCGCAACCGACTTGATGGTCACCGGCCCCGCTCCGTGGCCTTCGAACGGCTTCAGATTCTCTCCCGGTCCCAGGAAGTCCGCCTTTGCCAGTGGGTATCGGCCCAGGTGGACTTGGGCGTCCCGCCTACGCAGGTCCAGATCCAAGAGTTTGCCTGCCGCATCCTGAAGGCCCAGGGCGACTCTCGGGTGGTTGGGAAGAACTGGATCAACCGGTTCATGGCGAGACACTCGATCGTGGTCGTGTTGTCGGCGAAGGCTCGGAAGGCAGACGAGGTAGACGCGGGCCACGACAAAGAAGCGTCTGTTGAAGAGGACGAGTCGGAAACGTCGGGTTCAGAAGATAGCTCCTCTATCGTTGCTCGATCAAAGAGGAGGTGATAAAGGTGGTCCGAATGGGGGTGGCCGACTTCGCCAATCACAAAGGGGAAGTTTGAGACACTCTGCTGAGGAGGCAAGGCCTGGGGGAAACCACGTTGTGGTGGCTCGTGGACGCGTCATGATATTGCCAGGCAACATCCAAGGACCGGATCAGACACAAAATAGCTAGCAGGTAGGATAAAGGATAGAATCTAATACAGGTCGTGGTTGACTCTCTTCTCGTCACCGAGCCCAACTGTCAAGGATGGAGTTTACTTTCTTTGGTGCTGCCGTGTCAGTCGAGCTCGCGTGCCCCGCATTACGTCGATGGCCGTGGGGTGTCAGTGGGGCCCGGGGACGTTCCATCGCGGGGCAGGAAAGCTCCTACGGAGCACCGAGGCCGTTACGCAACATCCTGGTGGATGTTTGACGAGGAACGAATGCTTCAGGAATTTGGATTGAACGAAACCGCAAAGGCTTGAGCTCAGAAAATATCCTTTTGGGCACAAATCACAGGAAAAGAAACCTGAATTGCCGTTTAAGCCGTTTAAACCCAACCTCCGCATGCCCTGTTGAGTGGGGCACACCGCATCCAGCCCCTGTTTGGGCTTCCGTCAGCTGGCTTGCTCCCGTGCCGCGCTTCGCCTGCGCTTGTCCGTTGATCCGTTGCCCGAATTTCAGGTCCAACCCCCCCAGGCTTTCGGCACGCCGCGGTCCTTTGTCGTTGTTCAACAATTACACCTTTCTCTTGCTCCTCCAGGAAATACTTGATAGATACTTTCCAGCGACATTGACAAACTTCGGCGTGCCGCCGCGACGGAGCCGACACCATGTTCGACATCTTTGCCAAGTTCCTTTCGTACGTCATCGTGGCCCCCTAAACAGATGAACGATGCTTAAACTGACTTCCGTTTGTCGCTGCACAGCTCGATCGCGTCCTTTCTCTTCCCGCTGTTTGCCAGCTACAAAGCCCTCAAAACCTCCGACCCAGCCCAGCTGACGCCATGGCTAATGTACTGGGTCGTTCTCGCCTGTGGGCTCCTCGTTGAATCGTGGATTGACTGGTTCCTGGTCTGGTGCGTGTCTCCCCCTTTCTCCCAACCCTCACCAACAACCCCATCCTAACCACCACCCACCACCTCAGGATCCCCTTCTACGCCTACATCCGCCTCCTCTTCCTCCTCTACCTCGTCCTCCCCCAAACCCAAGGCGCCCGCTTCATCTACGAAGAATACATCCACCCGCGCCTCGAAGAAAACGAAACAGCCATCGAAGAATTCATCGCCTCGGCCCACGAGCGCATGCGCAGCACGGGCATCGCCTATCTCAACCGCGCCATCGAGCTGCTCAAGACCAACATCCTGGGCATGGCGCCCTCCCCGCCTACCGCGGCGGCGGCCGCGCCCCCGCAGCCCCAAACCGCCCAGTCCTACACCCAATCCCTCCTCGCCCGCTTCACCACCCCCTCCCCGCGCTGGAACACCACCCCCGCGCCCACCGCACCGCCTACATCCGGCAGCGGCGCCAGCCTCGCAACCGACTTATTCGCCCTCCTCAGCTCGGTCACCGCCGCGGCCACCACCCCCACCCCCACCCCCTCTTCTAACACACGCGGTTCCGGTTCCCCCCCCGGAACAAGCAGCGGCAGCGGCAGCATCATCCCCGACTCCATCCGCGCGGCCGGCGCCGCTGCGCGCGTATCCTTTGTACGGGCGCAGCGCGAGCGGTTGCGGTTTGTGCTGTCGGCGCTGGACCGCGAGGAGGAGGACGCTGCTGCTGCGGAGGCGGCCGGCGCTGCTACTTCTACTACCTCAAGGGGGGGTGGTGACGGCGGGGTTTGGGATAAGCGGGAGTCGGTGAGTGAGCAGAGCGTGGGGAGCGGGCTGAGTAAGAGTCGGTCGGAGGGGGATTTTGAGAAGTTGGATGCGCCGAGTGGGGGGGAGGAGGAGGAGGGTGCTGGTGGGGTGAGGAGGAGGGGGGGTGTGGAGGCTGGGAAGAGTGCGGGGTGGATGCCGTGGGGTTGGGGGGCTGGCGGTGGTGGTGGTGCTGGGGAGGGTGGGCGGAGCTCGGGGATGGAGAAGTAGACTTTGGGTTTTTGTGTTGTTATGGAAAGGGGGTTTCTCATGGATGGGTTGCATGCCGCCGTGCGTGGCGGGGCGGGTATGGAAAGGGTTTACACTTTGGGAGCATTATGCATATGGGTTAAGGCAAGTAGGGGGTTGGCGTTTTTCTCCTGTCGAGGTTTTCTGCATCACATACGGTTCGCTTCAGTTCAGATAAACGCCGTGGATAGACCTGGGTAGTCACATGGCACCGGCTGATATGCTCCTGGCGCAGATGGATCAGCTCTCGCGGAGGCATTTCATGGATGAGGTTTATGTATCATACAGTAGTGTACAGGCTATCAACAAGCCCGGTAGCAGTTATATCCGCCCGATAATTTCCCCCCCCCCGGCCCCCCCGGCTACCCTCTATGCTAATCCCAGACGTGACAACATGACGAACCGTTTTTTCGAAACCACCCGCTCCCATTATTTCTCGCTTAGGCCCGCCCCGCCGCCTTGTACGGATACGCGGGCTCGCCGTCCTTGCGCGTCCAGATCTGGCGGCGCTTCTTGTTGACCACGTGCTCCACCCACAGCTCCTGGCAGTGCGCCTTCTTGAAGTCGCGGATGAAGCGCGGGTCCCACAGCTCCGACGCGATCCCCAGGTCCTTGCAGCACCGCAGCAGCGCGTTCGACTTGCACCCCTCGCCCGCCGTCGGGATCGTCTCCTCGGAAAAGTACTGGCATTCGCCCCGCGCTTGCGCGATGAAGCTGTGCGTGGGGGGGTGGAGGGGTTAGTTTTGGTTTTCTTCAAGGGGGGGGACAGGGGATAGGTGATAGTGGGTTGGAGGGGGGTGGGTGTGACGTACCGGCCGTGCACGACCAGGGCGTATTCGCGGGTGACCACCTTCTCGCCGACGACGAGCTCGCCACGCGGCGCCAGCCCCCAGCCACCGGGACCGAAGGCGCGGTTCAGGATGCGCCGATACTTGATCTCAGGCAGGTAGATGATGCCGTCGGGCTTGACCTCGATGTCGTAGGGATCCAGCCGCTGCATCAGCACCGACGCCGTCTCGGGACTGAAGGGCGTCGTCGACAGCCCGTGGAACGACGACGACCAGTCGATGTTGTTGCCGTTGCCCTGGGGGCCCCCGCTGAGCGCAGTCGCGAAGGCGGCTGAGGGGGCTCTGGTGCCCGACGACTCGGGCGTGGGGATCTCGGCGGCGAGTTGCGGGTCTACGTCCTCGATGGTCGCCGGCGGGGGCATGGCGGCTTGCGGGTCGAGCACGGGGTTGGTAGGGGCGGCAGGGGCGGCAGGGGCGGCAGGGGCGGCGGCTGCCGGCGTGGCGGGTTTGGCTGCTGGCACGGCACGGGCACGGGAGGCGGGTATTGAGGATGTTGCGGTTCGCGGTCTGGGAGTGTACGAGGACGATGAGGCGGCGCGGGCTAGTTGTTTGAGGAGAGGCGACCGCCGGGCAGGAAATCGGAGGTATTGTGTCGGCATTATGCTGGACGATGCCACCCGCGCGGGGCGAATCGCTTGGAGGACGTGCGACCGCATATTTTCTGTGCTGTGATGGATGTGTTGGAGGTCTGGGTCTGGAAGCCTTGAAATTCTCCTGTGGTCGTCAAGGTTGTCGAAGGCTTGGCGACAAGGGTTTGCAACTGCGCTGTATTTTACACGCTCAGACTCAGTGGGTGGTGAGTCACCATGTGTAATCTGTAACTAAATGTACCATGTCGTCATTGTGGGTTGGAACAAAAGAAAGAGACCGCCTGAGAATTGAATTGGTTTTTAGAATTGAATTTGTTTAGTGTTGTGTTCTTGGTTTACCCAATCAATATTTATTTGTACACGGTTGATGATACAGAACTGAACAATCGAGGTTGTAATCCGTATTCGGTTCCCAGGTTACGCATCGTTCGCATCTTTCGTGCTGGTGCGCTTATCGTTCCCTTGCGCCTTCCAGCACTCTCTGAACCTCTCCATCTAACCCACAGTTGCGTGAGTGCCAATCTTGCCATCAAACTGTACCTTTACATACCTCGTTCTTGCAAGCTCTCCAGTCCTTTGTCTCGTAGTAACAGTCGGTCATTTTTGCATTTTCATCTGCCATGTACATCCGTTAGCTGCGGGGCCATCGCTGTTGCGGATATGTTGAGAAACGGCATCCCCGGCAATCTCCGGGTTCCTCTTCCGGATCTCAACAATCGGCAGGAGATCTTTGGGGCTCCGGATATGTGCGGCCTAGGAATTCTTTACTTACCAGCGCAGCCAGTGCTGAATATCCGCTTGTCCCTGTATGATTGCGACGTGAAGTGAGCAACAAATCTGTATTCGAGGGGGGTCCCAAAAGCGGTAGCGACTCATCACACTTGAGGCACTAGCAAAGCAACCTCAACTCACCACTCATCCGGCTCATCATCCTCTGGCTCGGTGGCAGGCGCCTGCTGTTCTACCTTATCTGGCGTAACTTCTTTCGACGTTGATGTCCCCATTGGTGATATCATTAAGCCGACGAGCTGACGAAGCTTGTGGAGGAGATTTTTGTTGAATGTTGTTTTGGGGATTCTGAGTTTAAGTGGCCTGCCGAATCGGAGCTCACATTTCACGCATTTCCACTCATTTTCCCGCATTCCCATCCTGAGTCAACAACCCCCCTACCGGATCGGGCAATTCTTCGAAATGGCACCGCAAAAGCTCAATGTTCTGGTGTACACAGGTTCGGACGACTTTGACTTTTATCCCTTGACTTTCTGCTAACTGGCTTCAGGCACTGGATCAACGCTTGAATCTGTTCGCCACTGCATCTACTCCCTGCGTCGGTTGCTGGGTCCTAACTACGCCGTGAACCCCATCGCCGAGTCTGCACTTCTCAAGGAGCCCTGGGCTCCAACTTGTTCGCTTCTTGTCTTCCCAGGAGGCGCCGACCTCGGATACTGCCGTGTCCTAAACGGTACCGGCAACCGCAACATCACCCAATTTGTCCGTCTCGGAGGAGCTTTCCTGGGCTTCTGCGCCGGTGGCTACTATGGATCTCGTCGCTGCGAGTTTGAGGTTGGGAACCCCGAACTGGAAGTTGTAGGTAGCCGGGAGCTTGGCTTCTTCCCCGGTACGTGCCGCGGCGGCGCCTTCAAGGGGTTCGAATACCACAGTGAGCGTGGTGCAAGGGCTGCCAAGATCACTGTATCGAAGCAGGCCTTCCCTGAGTTGGCATCACTCCCCGACGCGTTTCAGTGCTACTACAACGGCGGCGGAGTGTACGTGGATGCCGACAAACTCACGGGCGGCTCTAGCAAGGTTCAAGTGCTCGCTGAGTACGCCGAGGATCTTGCCGTTGAGTCTGGCGCTGCCAAAGCCGCAATAGTGTACTGCAAAGTAGGCGAAGGCTCCGCGATTCTTACCGGTCCCCACCCAGAGTAAGTACTGTAGCCTATGGTTAAAGTCTGCCCCCTTTAACACGTCTAGGTTTGATGCAGTCAATCTCAGTCAACAGTCCGATGTCCCGGGCTACGAAGATCTCATCGAGGCGTTGAAGGCAGACGAGGAAGCTAGAACCTCTTTTCTGAGAGCCTGTCTCACAAAACTCGGCCTCGAAGTCAGCCAGGGAGCATCGCCCGTGCCCAGCTTGTCCAAAATCCACCTCTCTGCCCTAAAACACACCGACGTCGGCGAGACTCTATCCTCATTTGAGGAGATCATCACTCGAAACGGCGGTGAAGAGTACATCAAAGGGGGCAATGATCTGTTCCATCTCGAGAAGCCGGATTCCAGGTGGTCTTTGGCCTCTCTCGGCGAAGCCTTGTTGAGCGAAATTGACGGGTCGAAGAAGAAGACCGGTCGGACCTCGCCAGACCCCACGGCTGACTACAGCCACGTCCCTAAGCGCATCGTGTCTCACGAAGAGGCCTGGCCGGAACCGAAAGAAACGCCCTACTTCAACCACTCAGTCTTCTACTCGAGCCTTCGGGAGTTTAGAGCGAACGAGGCCGAAGCCGAAACATGGGGTGATGTATTCATGTACGGCGAGGTCGTCACAAGCACCAACACCCTGCTTGAAAAGTGAGTTGTTTGCCGCTTGTGGCGGCCCAGTGATCTAACAAGGTTCAGAAACCATCACCTTCTCTCAAAGCTGCCCACAGGCTTCACCCTCGCCGCAACAACTCAAGTAGCCGGCCGCGGCCGAGGCGGCAACGTCTGGGTCGCGCCCCCTGGTTCTCTGATCATGTCCACCGTCATCAACCACCCCGCCCACTACGCGGCATCTCGGCCCATCGTCTTCATTCAGTACCTTGCCGCCATCGCCATTGTCGAGGCGGTCAAGTCCTACGACGAGGGCTACGCCGACGTGCCCATCAAGATCAAGTGGCCCAACGACGTCTACGTTAGAGACCCCAAGAAGCCAAACGAAGTCTCGTACGTCAAGATCGCCGGCATCCTGGCAAACTGCGCCTACTCGTCAGGAAGCTACCAGGTCGTCCTCGGCATCGGAATCAACACCAACAACGCCCGGCCCACCACCAGCCTCGACGCCCTCCTACCCCTACTCGAAAGCAGCAAAAAGCTCGAGCCCTTCCGCATCGAGCGGCTGCTCGCACGGATCCTGACCCGCCTCGAGGCCCTGTACGGCGCCTTCTGCCGCGACGGCTTCTCGCGCGAGCTGGAGCGCAAGTACTACCAGCACTGGCTGCACGCCAACCAGATCGTCACGCTCGAGGCCGAGGGCGGGGCCAGGGCGCGCGTCGTCGGCATCACGAGGGACTGGGGCCAGTTGATGGCCGAGGAGGTGGCCGACAATGGCATCAATGGTGCCCTGCGCGCGACGGGCAGGGTGTGGGCGCTGCAGAGCGACGAGAACAGCTTTGACTTTTGGCGAGGCCTCGTTAAGAGGAAGATCTGAGGCCCTGTGCGTTGGCGTTTGCGTTTAAGGGGTGGAGGGAGGGAGGGATCGGCTGGGTTGGGGTTTCGCGCACAGGCGTCGCTACCGAACGGTCTGCCGTGTGCGCGTTCGTCGGCCTGTCTGTTTGGGGTGGGCTGTGGCTCTGTGCGTTGCCATATGGGATCGAAGTCAACGTCGGATCTGGATTTACTGCTGGGCTAGACAAGAACTCGGTCGGAAAGAGAAAGGAGCTCTGACCTTCTTCCCCGCAATGGGTCGGGAAGTGGTTGCATGGAATGGTTACATTGCCGGGAGGGGGGGCTGCCCACGTTCAGACCCCGATCTGGTCATCTCGTGGTCTCAGACATCCCCAGAAATGGTTCTGGTGATGGATTCACGACTGACATTAGGGTACTGGAGATAGTGGTGGGTTAGCAACGGGGTCGATGGGTCAACTACCATCCGGCACATACTACACGGGCAACGACAATAACCTTTTCCCATTATCCTACAACGGACTGTACATCAATTGCTGCTAGTCAGCTGCCGGCGGGGTACGGCTGCGGCCCTCCCGCCCGTGTGCCGAGCGGTTGGATTCCAGGAGCTGTTGCTGCACTCCAGCCGTCCGTCCGTCTCCATCCAAACGTGGTTGAACATATCGCCACCCGCGCATGCGCACGCTCGTTGCGTCCACGATCAGGAGGGAGTGATTCCTCACAATGTCAAGATAGGAGGAAGTGATAGCCCCTGCGTTCTTGGTTTATGATCACACAGGCCAGCTCGTTGCCAACCTTTCTACCCTCCCCCTCTCCCATCTGACCGACGAAGCCAAGCCAACGAATTCGGCCCGCTTCGGGCTTACTATCGCCGTGCAATGGGAAAGGTGTCAAGAATGGCCTGCTCAAATACAATCCCAACCAAGCAATGACGCAGTTCCGCCCTGCTCACCACAAGAAAGCAGAGGTCCCCGCCCCGGCATTGACCTGTATAGTTCCCTCGCACAGTGACATCTCGCCAGTCCCCGTCCCCGCATGCTGAATTCTGCCGCCGTTCCGCTGCACCCCATATCGGATGCCGCGCCGGGAGCCAATCATGTCTCACTGCTTGGACGCACAAGGTGTTGCTCGTTCCGTGTCTCGAGAGATGCAGGACTTGCAGCTTTCCTGTCAGTGCTGTTCCGTGCCCTGCCGGGAGTGGAATGGTCCGGATTGAGCGTGTGCGGACGGACAATCTATGTCGATGACTTGCTTGGTTGGTGTGGGTATGGTGAGAGTCAAATACAATGTGGTCACCGTGTCGGCTTCTCAGGTCGTGTTATCCCATGTTGGCAACCGAGATTACAGTCTTTGGATTGCGAAACGAGCCATACAGACAACGAATAGCAACGGATTCGGTTCACGCGACAACTAATGCCGTCAGCTAGATGGTCAACCGATGAGAACTTGACATCGTAGCCTGGAACGCCAGGTCAAGACATCCATGAACCACACGCCCCGTTGGGTTTGAAGTCAAGATGTCTCCACAAATGGTCACAGACATGGGCTACACCAAGTTCAACCTCACTTATCCGTTGGCGACGGACGATACCATCCCAATGGCCGATCTCATGAGAGGATATGAGGTGAGCATCTCTCAAAACTCTTGAACTGGCTTTGGCATTAACACAGGCAGACCATTCCCAACGCCCTCATCGGCATCCTCGTCCCGCACATATTCTGCACCCTGATTATCTTGGCCCGAACGTACTCACGCCTCTTCCTCCTCCGCAAGTGGTTCCTCGACGACACGCTCATCCTCCTGGCCTGGGCGTTCACCACATCCGTCTGCATCATCTACAGCATTGCGGTGCAGGCCCAGTCCCAGCAAACCCCCTACGGCGGCCTCAATCTTCTCGCCACCACAACCGCCACACCTATAGCCCCGACCACAACCCGCGCCTACATCTCCCTAATCCTCTACCCAACTCGCCCTCTTCCTCACCAAACTCTCTATCCTCTCCTTCTACCACCGCATCTTCTCCCCCTCCCCCCACCACCACGACCACCACCCCCAACACCAACCCCCTCACCCCCAACAACAACACCAACCCCCCAAACCCCCCCGCCCCCTCTCAAAAACCCTCACCCACCTCACCACCCTCCTCCTCCTCCCCTTTCTCACCCTCCCCCTCCTAACCCTCACCATCCTCCAATGCCACCACCTTTAAAAACGACAACCACACCACCGGCACCACCACCACCATCACCACCACACACTGCCTCCCCTTATAGCCCCCTGCTCAATCATGAACATCACCCTCCATGTCTCCACCCTCCTCTGGCTACCCGCCCCGATCCTCCCGTGCCTGGCGCGCTTGCGGGATGTGTGTTTTCTCAGGAGGGTCGTCTTGCGGCTCCTGCTGAGTTCGGGCGGGGTGGTGGGCGGGGCGTTGGGGGTCGCTTGGTTGGGGGTGCTGATTCCGGGGACGAGGAGGGATGGGGTTGGGGTTGGTTTTTCTGGGGGTGGGGATGGATAAGGGGTGGTGTTTTTGGGAATGACGGTGGTGGAGCTAGAAGTCGCTGTTGTTTGTGGCAGTGCTCCGATGTTGAGGCCTGTTTTCGCGAGGGTGAGGCCACGGGTGGGGGGGTAAACATAGAATTGGGGAGGGGGCTCAGGGGTGGT